CAGCAACAGCAGCAACAGCAGCGGCGGCAGCTCCAGCGGCACCACAACCAGCAGCAACAGCAGGTGGCAGGTGGTCGTATGCTTGGAGTCGTGGGCGCGCTCACAGTCACGGGGCTGGCATCCTGCCCGGAGGCCCATGCGCTCATTGCAGAGCCATCCAATGCGCTGTCGCTGCCGACTTGGGCCATTCATGTGTCCAGCGGTGAGCCGCGCTGTGGCGCCTGATCTTACAACACCGCTGCATGCTGCTCGCGCCGCCACTGTTGAGTGCCCATCCCTCCGCGTCCCGCAGCAGCAGCGGCCCCATGGTTGGTATGCCGTGGCATACCAACCAACGCCTGATGCCTTGTGCCCGCCCGCTCATTGCCCAGTTGCGGAGTGGGTCCTGGCTATTGGCCTGTTCTGGCGATACGCGGAGGTCTCAGGCAACGAGCGCTGGAAGGGCCTGTCGTTCGGCATGCTGCCTGCGCTGGGCTCCGCCATGAGCGCGTGCACTTGGTGAGCACCTAGGCGCCACGGGCGCGGCCGCGCGGGCTTGCAATGCGATTGGCGTGTGTGCGCGCATTGCGCATGCATGTGCAGGCTGCAGCAGCCTCAACCTTGCGCCGGCCCGCCCTCGTCGTCGCCTCCCCGCCCAACGTCATCGTGAGCTGCCCCCCTGACATGTTCACGCCCATCCCCCTGCCTCCTCCCAAGGCACTTCTTCTACAATTCCCCAGACCTGGACTTCCTGGTAGCCCTGCAGGCCTTCCTCACCGTTGTGGGCAATGCCACCTGCGCATGGGCCGCCTATCGGATCTACGCAGCTGCCAAAGAGGGGCAGAGCGCATAGCACGCCCGTACCGGTCGGCCGCGGGGCGCTGCGTCGCACGCGCACTGCCTCGAGCGTCCGCTGTTGGTGGCTGATATGTTGAGAAATCTCATTCCTTTATGCACGACTGCGTTTATATGATTCTGGTGTTACACATGTGCGCGCCAGTTACTGGCAACTGAGGCAGATGTTTCAATGAGGGGTTGATGACAAGGGAGCGTGGGGCCCACCCGAGTTCTCCAGAGGTGGCCTGGCACCCCGTGAGTCAGCGCACCCAAGTCCACTGGGTGTTTCAGCGGGCACACAAAAGCAGAGAAAACATCAAGCTGTTGCGCTGATACTGGGTCGCAGCGCAGAAAGAGTAGTGCCATGCGCAAGGCACAGAGCACTGGGGCCGGCAGGGTTGTCCTTGCGCGACGCCAGCAGCGCCGGTGCAAGCATGCCCCTGGTAGCTCACAGGGGCAAGAGTAAAGGCGCGGACCTACAGGACGTGCGATCCCCAGAGCAGGCCGCGGCAGGCTATGTATTGGGCCTGCAACTGCGCGTGCACTCCTCGCGCCCATGCGTCATGGCAGGCGCGGCCCGCGCCGGTTCACTTGCCGGTGGGCGCGGCGCTGTTGCCGCCGAGGAAGGACTCCATGAACGCGCTGTGCTGCGGCGCGGGCAGCGTGTGGCCCTTGTTCCTGCGGATGATGGGGTCGAGGTACTCGGTGATCTGGGGTAAGGGGGGAGCGGCAGCGGGCGACGAGGTTCGAATAGGGGAGCAAGGGGTGCAGGGAATGTCAGAGTCAAAAAAGGCCCAGCGGCAGTGTTGGTTGCATGTGGTGTCGTGTTGCTGACCGCAGGCCGGCAGCGGGGCATTCGCAGCGGCAGAAAGGAGAAGCAGGCGCGGGCGCATGCGGCAGCGCGCTCACCGCGTGGTGCCGGTTCTTGTGCAGCGTCAGGTACGTCTGTGGCAGGGGGTCAGGGCGCCGAGTTGCATTTGGGGACGCTGTCAGCGCAGGCACGGGTTCATTGCGAACGCTTGGGGCAGCCATTTGCAGCCGCGCGGGTGTGAGCTCGAGTCACCCAGCCTGATGCAGTGGCCGTGGGCCCGCAGCAGCCTGCTGTTGCATCGGCTGCCGCTGTCAGCGGCCAGCAACCATCAGAACCACAGTTGGTCCGCGTCAACAACCCATCATGCGCAATCCAGGGCCCACCTCCAGCTCCTGCCTCCCTTTGAAGATGAGCAGGTCAATTACCTGCGGCATAAGTGCGCACGGAAAGCTCCTCTGTTCCAACGCGCTGCGCTTTCAACGCCGCCGACCCACCGCACTGCAAACCCACCCTGGCAAATGCACCGCGGCAACTTCGTGTGACGCAGCTGCCTCTTGACGGCCAGCAACCCCCAGGTCCCCATGCCTGTCAGCTTTACGCTGCATGCGGTGCGACCACCCCTGGGTCATGTCTGGGCGTCTGCCAGCGCCGTCTGAAGATCGCAACCAGCCACCCACCCGCTGGTCCTTGACGTCCTTGTACTCCTTGAACTTCTCCTTCACCACGCTGCGGATGTCGCGCACAGACACAATCTCATCCAGCTTCATCGCCTTCTGGATGAACGGCACGCAGCGGCACACCTGGCGCGAGGGGGAGGACGGGTGGGGCCATGGGCGTGCGGGCGTGCGGGCGCACGGCAGCTCGCAGCAGCTGCAAGGCGCAAAAGCTGCAAGAGCTCACTGCGCAGATGTGCAGATGCAGGATCACGCGGTGAGACATCGGGGCTGTAGTGGCGCACACCAGCGCAAGCGCACTCGCAGCAGCGCAGGCAATGGTGCGGCTCGGCTGCGGCGCTGGCCCGAGCGCCAGGCCCGCACGGTGTTGCGATCCCATGCCCACCTCATAGTAAAACTTCCGCGCCTCTCCCCCGAACAGTCCCTGCTGGGGGACCTTGAGTCCTATTCTCGACAGAGTCGACATCTCCCGCGCTGTTTAACCCCACAACTTCAATAACTAGGCTCTCGTATACTTCTAGGGTGGCCTGCGACGGCTTTAAGGCAAGCCACACCCCCCACAGATCAAGGGTGAACTTTGATTCACAAATATATGCAGCTGTCACAATTTTCTGCGTGTGAAGATTTGCCAAACTGCGTGACTCTATGTACCCCAATACATCAGCACGGTACAGTACCCGCGAGTGAGATCAACTTATAAAGTTCCAGCCCCTTGTCTTTCAATAGGCGCACCCAGGCCCTGCATACTCACACACTAGCGGGCAGCGGGCGGCCGCTCTAGGGGCTTGATCCCACACCTTGCGGCGCAGCGCCCCTGCCTTTGCCGCCGCGATGGCCGCCTGGAATGCGGCGCCGCCGGGCCGATTCCAGGATAAGCTTGGCTTGGTGCTAGACAAGGGCACGGCGCTGCAGTCGATCGCTACCTACACAGGCGTGGCCCTGGCCGCCGGCATCGCCAGCCGCTATGGGTGCGGGGGTGATGCTCAGCGGCGGGCGACCACGCCGCCACGGCAGAAACGCTCTCGAGGCCCTGTGCCGCGCGCTGCCGAAGGGGGCCAACGCCCTGCACTGATGCGCTGATCTGGTGCGCCGCGCCGGCTTCCTCGCAGGCCGCCGCTGCTGCGGCTCCTGCATGTGCCAGGCCTGGGTTACCTGGGCCTGCTGCTTGGGGTGACCGCAGCTCTGAGCGCGCTGGCGGCGCTGGCAGCGGTTGGCAGGTGGCGCGAGAGCAGCGCGCGCTCCAAAGCGTGAGCGGGGCTGGGGTGGCGCGGCGGGGCCGCGCCCGGCAACATTCAAATAACCTCTGGCCTTGCGACTTTTATGATGGGACTGGCTGTTTTGGAGGGCCAGACCGGGCCAATGTTTGAAATGGAACAGCCGCGACCCGCGTCGCCTTGGTGCCCACCTTGCTGCCGGCCCGTGCCCCTTCTGCAGCCAATCGCTCCTGAAGCCGATGCAGCGGGCGCTCCTGGGCCTGCCCCCCACGCCGCCCCCAAAGTGAGTTGCGCATTATTCATCGACTTGACCACTGCGTGCGTGAGTCGCGTCGCCTGCAAACCCTTGCAGCCCGCACATGCAAACCCTTGCAGCCCGCACATGCGGTGCTTGTCTATGATTACACCTCAAGCCGGCCCCGCCGCCGGCCGCTGACACCGCCGCCGCGCCGCCGCCTTCGACCCCGACTCGCCCGGGGCTGCAGGCCGCTGGACCCAACCCGCCCCGCGGCGGCGCCGACGCCCCCGAGGCCTGCGGCCGCGCTGTCGACGCCGCTGACCCCCGCGCAGGTGCGGCCGCCACGCACGCGCCATACACGCACGCCAGCCAACGCTGTCAACCCTGTTATGCACAGCACGCCGCTCGACCGCGGCGACCTGTCAGCTGCTCTCGACTTCGACAGTGCTGAACTGCGCCGCCCCCCCCCCCACCACCACCATGCCGGCTTCTCCTCCGCTTCTCGCAGCGCCCGTCGCCGGTCGTGTCGCGGCAGCAGGCAGCCTACGGCCTCACCACCCCGCAGAGCCTGGGGGCCGCCTCCCTGGGCGCGTCGGCCCACGCCACCGCCTCGCCGGCCTCCCGGTGCGCGTGGCCCTATATAAGTCTGTCTGCACAGGTTGGCTGCTGCCAGCACCAGCGCAAGCATCGTCACTGCACACACCGTCCTCTCCGTACACTCGTGTGTCTGGGCACCCCGCGCACTCACCAGTGTTCCGCACCGACCCGCCTGCACGCCCACCCACCCCCAGGCGCTCTCCCTGGTCGGCCGGCAAGGCCGTGGCGACGCCCGAGCAGCTGAAGCAGTACTTTGACATGTTTGCCAGCCCCGCCGCCGCGCGCCAGCAGGCCGCCGCCCCTGCATCGCCGGCCGACGCTGCGTACCAGCAGGCTGCTGCGGCCGCGGCGGCGGCGGGGCGGGGCCGGTACGATCAGGGGGACGGGGTCGGCAGCCCGCTGCTGCCTCTGGGGCGCGACGCGCCGCTGTACCGCCCATCAATTGTGAGCGGCCCACGGCAGGCGGGGCGTGGGGACGGCGGGGCCCTCTGTTGTGCTGCCGCGCGAACGTTTTTGGGTGCAAGAGGGGGCTACCTTTGGACCTGCGACCTGCGCCTCCTGGCGCCTGGCTGCCTTGCGCCTCGTCTCGCTGCAACTCTGTGCAGGCGCGGCCCTTGGTCCCTGCTGTGAAATCGCCCTTCGCGCCGCTCAAACCTGGCAAACCCCGCCTGTAAACCGGGGACACCGCAGACCCGCAAGGCCGGCGCCGGCGCGGCGGGAGCAGCGGGCAGCGCGGGCGACACGCTGCAGCCGTCTGCGGACTCCGAAACGACCGCTGTCATCCGCGACATGCTGCGTATAGAGGTGGGGGCAGGGTCGGTGCGGCTGCTGCACTTGGCTCTGTGATTGGTGCGTATACGTACGTGCTTGTAATCGTGTGTGCATGCCCACACTCGTGTGCACGCCTGTGTGCAAGCACGAGCGCAGACGTTGCTTGTCCGACCGCACACGCGCCCACGGAACCCAACGCCAGCGCCAGCGCCAGCCCCTCGTTTCCTGACCCCCAATCCCCCTCCACCCATGTCTGCAGCTGGGCGACCTGGTGCTGTGGACAGAGCGCTTCCGCGAGTGGTTCTCCCTTCACCTGCTGCGCCCCCTCGTGGCCCAGCTGGACTCGGCCCACGCAGACGCCAACGCCTTGCTGGCACCTCTCAGCCACGACCGCCTGCCGCCGCTGGACGAGGCAGTGGCAGGGGCGAGCGGCGGCGGCGGCAGCGGCGCTGGTGGCGGCGGCGGTGGCGGCGGCGGTGACGTGGATGTGGTGGTGGCGCATTTGATGGGGCTGGCGGAGCAGGGGGCGCGGTCGGCCGCGCCGGCGGTGCAGCAGCAGCTGCTTGATGTGTACAAGGTGTGTGCGTGAGTGTGATTTTATGAGCGTTGGGGGTGAGGTCAGGCTGCTGCGCACGACTGCGCTTGCGTGCACCTGCTGCTGCGGACAGGCCCTGTGGCGAGCGGCACTGTTATCATGCAGCGACACATGTGAAATGGCATTGCACAGCTTTCTCATTCTCCGGGTTCGGCTCAGCCACCCCCTAGCATCTGCGCTGCGAACGTCCATCCCCTGCCCCTGTTCTGCCTACTCCCCCACCCCACCCCCAGGCGCTCCACCGCTACCAGCAGCTGCTCCTCCTCCTCCGCGGCCGCCGCCCCTCCGACCTCCTCCCCCCCGCCCCCGCCGGCTACGTCGCGGCCGCTGCGCGCCGCCTCGCGCGCGGCACCTGCCTGAACGACTTCTCGTGGAGCGGCGGGGGGGAGCACCAGGGGCGGCCCTGGACGCCGGACCTGCCCACGGACAGCGTCCTGGTGTTCTACCTGTTCGCCGCATTCCTGGACGCCCCCGGCTGGCGCTTCCCGCTGCAGCCCGCGCCGGAGGGCGGCAGGTGCGCGGCGCATCGCGGCGCGGCGCGGCGCGCGGCGTCCTGCGCGCGCGGCTCGCTTCGGCGCGGGGCGGCAGCGTGCAGCGGGCGGTGCGTTACACTTGTATTTGCCACTTGCCTTTCCCCCACTCCCATTGACGTCCCCTTCAGCCCAAGAAAGCAACACGCCCCGCCACCCCCTCCCCAGGGGCGCCCCTCTCTACCTCGGGCAGGTGCGCTCCCGCCCCCCCGCCTCCTACAGCGCCCTCCTCGCCTTCCGCCCCGACAAGCCCGGCCCCGGCGCCGTTGCCGTCATCGGCTCCAACCTCTCATCGCGGGAACCGAGGTACAGCCTGCTGGCCGAGGGCCAGATCATCACCCTGGAGCAGCGCGACGGCGCGTTCCATGCGCTGCTGCTGTTCCTGTCGTACCATGCGGCCAATCGGCAGGGCCTCCTGGGGGGCCGCCTGCTGGGGGAGCTCGACGGCCTCGAGGCCGTGCTGCAGGGCGGCGCGCCGGCGCCGTCGGTGCCGCAGCGGGTGTGGGAGTGGTGGTTCCCGCGCCAGTAGCGCGCCCGCTGGCGCCCGTGCGCGTGCGGCCGCAACCATGTAAGGTCGCTGCTTTGTGGGGCCCCTTGAAGGGGGAGGCGCAGGACGTGGCGTCGCATGGGGGCCAAGGCGTCTGGGCTCTCAAGTAGCGCAACAGCCAAAGGGCCTGCAACGCCCGGGGATGCTGGGTTGTGTCTTATGTGAGATGCCACGCGCCGACAGGAAGTCACCACAGATCCACTGGGCCACGCAGCTTGTGGCTGCGCCCCAACCCACTACTCTCAAACACACTAAGGAGACAGACACAAAATGCACGGCCCTGAAGCATGCGGGCCCGGCAAAGTTTTGCTCCTGCGGGAGTCGTGGCTGCCGCCAATGCTGCGCAGCGCTGGGCGAGGGCATGGGAATACGGTGAGGGCCCGATGCGCAGCAGCAATCATTCAGCAGCAGCAGCAGCAGCAGCAGCAGCAGCAGCCCTACACGCGAAAAATGCAATGCCGGCGGGCGAGGCGCTTGTATGCAAGGCAGCCGTTGCCATAAAACGAGGGCGAGTCGAACACACGCTGAGGCCCCCTGCAGTGGCCATTGTTGTGGAGTGCTGGGCGCCCGGCCGGCTGCGCCATGCCACACCGCGCTGCTAGCTGCTGCCCGTGACAGCTCAGACGTGTATGCTGTCTGCAGAGGCGCCAAACTTTGCCCGAAGAATGATGTCTAAGTGTAGCGGACGGCGGAGGGAGGAGTGGCCGCGACGGTGCAGCCGGGGGAGTAGCACCTGCGTGCTTCAACGGACTGCACGTGATCTGAGTACGGTCTGATCTCAATGTAGAAGAGCCCATCAACGATGCCATTGCTGAAATAACATGTATGTTTTGAAAGTGGGCCCCAGCTGTTCAAGGGGCTGGGAGTCCACCGCCGCCCCGCCGGATGATCTGGCGCGTCCGCCGGGCAGGCAGGCAGGCAGTCACCACTGCAATGCATTTTGAACAAAAATGCAGCGCTGCATGTCTACGCCACCATTCCTGCACATTTGTATGTCTCATTGCTTTTGATGTCCTTTTGTAAATGGCACGTGTTACCCTCTGATAATATTTCAGTGTTAATCTAGGAGCGGGGCGGCGACAGCTGCTCGGAGGGCGGGATGATGGAGCGGCCCAGCAAACAGGCTCGCAAGAGTGGCCCGCCCCTGGCCGTACAGCACGCTGGGGGCTATGCAGCGTCCATGGACAGCCCCCTGTTCATGCCGGTGCTGCAGGTGGGCGTCGATGGAGTGGGCACTGCTCCCAGCGGCGCGGCAGACCGTCGCAGTGCTGACCGCCGACCGCCGACCGCCGGCCCTTGCCCGCAGGTGGAGCCCTCACCGACGACGGGCATGACGAACATCATTCCTCCACTATTCCAGCAGCAGCAGCCCGTGGTCAAGCGAGCAGCAGCAGAGCCTGTGATCGAGCAGCAGCGCGTCGTTTATCCAGCTGGCCCACCTCCCATCCCCATCGCAGCTGCGGTGAGCTGTTGGTTCAGGCGTGGCTGCAGAACGGAGGACGGGCGAGCCGAGCAAGCGGTCGTCGGGCCCGCGCGCGTGGACAGGCCGCGCCCCACGGCCATCACCTCTTGTTACCTATATCAATGCTCTTATGATCATTTTGGGGCTGTGGCGGGCTGGACCCGCGCCTTCTGACCCGGGGCGCCTTGTTGAAGATCATTGCTGACCTCCCTCTTCCCTTCCCGCACCACGCAGCCCATGCCAAAGCCTGGGAAACAGAGCGCGGCAAACGATGACGGCTGGCAGTGGCGCAAGTAGGTGGCCGACGGCCTGGCGCTGTCGTGCCCACGCGGTTTGAAACGGGAGCGCAGCAGCCGGCTTGTTGCTGCTTTCTGCCTATCCCTGATCGCGCCGTGCATGGCACCTATGACGCTGAACCACCCGTGATCATGTCAACATGCACGCACCACGCTACATACACTGCCCCGGTGCAGGTACGGGGAAAAGTTGGTGAAGGGGAGCCCGTGCCCTCGCAGCTACTACAAATGCAGCCAACCTGGATGCCCAGCGAAGAAGATCGTCGAGCGGGACGCAAACTCGGGGGCCGTGCTTCAGACCCAGTACAAGGTGCGCCCCGGGCGCCGCCAGGTTGCCACCGGGCGGACGGCGCGCGCCCGTGGTGCGCGCAGGGGCAGCAGCGGCGGTTGGGCCCTGCCTGGCCCGGCCGCCTGTCGCTGCATGCTGCACAGCAGCGCGCGGGGCGTCTCTCACATCACGCTTGCCCGCTTCGTGTGCCCGCCCCACCACGCCGACAGGACGAGCACAATCACGCGATGCCGGGGCAGCCAAGGGCGGTGGTGCGGCCGCAGCGGCCACCAAAGCCGCAAGTGCTACTGATGGTGAGCGCCCCGCCGCGCGGGGCATGGCGCTGCAGCCGGGCGAGGCAGGGGCGTGAGGCACTGCGCCCCGTGCGATGGCGGCAGCTGCGCTATCAGGGGGTGTTTGGTGATCAGCCGGACGCTTTCGGCGTCGCAGCAAGGGCGGTTGGCGGCGGGCCAGGTTTGCGATCGGGCGGCTTGGAGGGTCGTTTTGGTCCTCACGGTCTTGGGACGCCTCATGCAGCCAAATCCAATTTGTCCGTCCCTCCTCGCTGCCCAATGGTGCCGCAGGAAAACATGACGTTGCCGCCGCACGTCGGCATGGCCCTGTCCCCAAACATGCGGATGCTGCCCCTACCCGACTTGCCCAGCAGCGGCGCAGGCTGCGGCGGCGACGGCAGCGGGGCCGGCGGCGACGGCGGCGGCCCAGACGCCGGCGAGACCGCCGGCGGCGGCGGGGGCGGGGGCGGGGGCGGCGGCGATGCCGTCGTGGGCAGCAGCGGCGGCGTGGCGGGCTTGGTAGCCCGCCTGCGCGGCAGGGGGAGCGGCGGCGGCGGCTTCTCGATACCTCAGCACGCGATCAGCCCGATGGCCAACATGGGTCTCAATTTGGGCATGCCGGGGCTGATGCAGGCGGGCGGCGGCCTCATGTTTGGCGAGCACCTCGCGGCGGGCGGCGGCGGCTTTGGGGCCGTGGCGGCGGAGGGGGAGGGGGCCGGCGACGAGACGAGCTCGGAGGATGAGGAGGTCGACGAGGAGGAGGAGGGCGGCGATGACGGCATGGAGCAGGACGCGGAGGGGCGGCGCGGCGAGGGGGCCGACGACGCGGCGGCTGGCGACGACGACAGCAGCAACAGCGGCGGCGGGCGCGGCGGCAACGACGGCGGCGGCGGGCCTTTGGAGCCGGCTAAGCCGCTTGTTACGGCGGAGCAGGACAGGATGCCGGCGCTCCACGCGGCGCGAGTCCTGCGAGAGGAAAAGCGGTACGTGTCTTTGGGGCCCGGGGAGAATGACGGGAGCCCGCGAGACGTGGGCGTGTGACTGCCGTGCCTATGTAGTTTGTACGTCTTGACCTTGACCGCGACCCCTTAGGTTGTAGGATTGACTGCGCAAGCGCGGCGCCCAGCGTCACGTATACTGCGTGTCTGTAATGTTTTTTCAAGGCTCATCGTTGATTACTCGAGTAGACAGGCCGCTCGTCGGCACGGTGGTTTCACCACCTCGTAGTTCAGTGGTTTTCACCACTACCTCGCTAAACCCAAAATGGTGGTTCTCATCACCAGGCGGCTCTCGCCACCAACGTGCAACAGTGGTTTCACCACTTAACATACAACAGTGGTTTTCACCACTCAACCCGCAACAGTGGTTCTCACCACTCTACATACAACAGTGGTTTTCACCACTCAGCCCACATCAATAGTGGTTCTCACCACTAAACCCGGAACAGTGGTTCTTACCACTAAACCCACAACAGTGGTTCTCACCACTCATATTACAACAGTGGTTCTCACCACTAACAAAACCTTTCACAACCGTGCTGGGTGCTGACCTTCGCTTCCTGGCTGTGCCCTGCCTTTGGGGGCCGGGCAGCCGCTGGCTGACATCACAATGCGTCCGTTCAACAGTGCGTGAGCCTGCAAGCCCTCTGCAGCTCGCAGCGGCGCCCCGCGTCTGCCGCCATTGGCTGTTAGCTCGGCGGGACGGCACCGCATATGTTCAGCCGCCCCTAGCGCCAAGTCTCAAAGCACAGCCCCTCGTCCCTGCCGCCCTTCCCACCAAACGCGCGCCTCGCAGCAAGAAACCAACCGCCCGCCCAGCCGCCTCTCACGCAGACCACGCGCGCCCTCGCCCCACCCCCTCAACCCCCGCGCAGCAAGCGCGAGGCCGCGCATCAGGCCGCGGTGCTGGCGGCCCTGGGCGGATACACCCTCATCCCGCTGCAGGTCCCGCCGGAGTGCCTGCCCTTCCTGCGGTTCCCTGAGCAGCAGCAGCAACTACTTAACCCTGCAGAGGGCACCCTGGCAGGCGCTGTCGGCCCGGCGTCGGTCCGGCGACCCGCCAGCTCGTTCGTGCCGGCGGGCGCGTTCGAGCTCGGCCGGAGCGGCCTGTTGCCGCTCGCGGGCGGGGGCGAGGGGGCGGGCCGGCGGTCTGAGGGGGCGGCTGCGGCCGCGGGTGGCGCCGGGTTGGGGCGGGTTGCGGGGACGGGCGATGGGCCCGGCGCCGGGGAGAGCGGGTGGCCCGCAACTCCGGATGTGAGGGGCGACGGCGGCGGCGATGGGATGCGCCCGCCTTTGAAGCGACAGCGGCGGTCTGAGGAGGCGGACGTGGACGCAGGCGCCCCTGAGGGCGAGGGCGACGGCCCCACCCCCGCAACGCCGATTGCCGCGGGGCCACAGCAGCAGCCGGGCACGGCCGCGGCCGCGCCGCTGGCGGCGCCGACGCCCCCCGCGCCGCCCCCGGCGGCGCCGCTCAGCGGCCAGCCGTTGCCGTGCGGCTCTGCTCCTCTGACGCCGATCACGCCCGCATTGATGGGGGCCCTGGCCGCCGCCATGGCGCGCGGCTCTGCGCCTCCAGGCACGATGGGCCCGCCGGTGCCCTTGTTACACTTTCTCGG